GGAGTCTGGCCAAAAGCCCAGTCCCAGCTCTGCAAGAAGGGGTCATATAACCGCGTGCAGATAATAAAGGGGAGCTTACAGGTAGCTCCGCCATCCCGCGTTGAATGTATCCTATTCGCGCGAGGTCGTCAGTATCGTTGATGATGCATGGCTAGCACTCTCTGTTTAGTTGGTGTAAGACGTGATTGGATAAGAAGGTGTTACCTCGTCGTGAACGCCATATTCGGCTTTGAACGAGTCCACGACAGCATTCACGAACGCGTCGTGGCTCACTTTTTCACTGAATTGAGCGAGGTTACACACCGGCGAACGCACAGACGCGACACCCTTCGTAATCATTGTGTCCTATCGCACGCCAACATATCAATCAGCAAAAAAGCATTTGCACCGAAAGAGCACAGAGACAAAGAAAGTCTCATCGTTAACAAATAAAATGTACCTTGCCCACCCTCAACAAATCTCCCAGCGTCTCAAGCCTCGTAGTAATCAGCAATCGTCCCGTGGTGGTACGCACGTCCGCTCACGATTTTGTAAGCCGAGCCTGACGCCTTCTCACCCTCCCACACAGATATCATTCCGCTCATTCACGTCTGCATCGATACCGAGCGCACGCACAGCCCGGAGGACGACCTGCGCAGAGTAGCGCCACGGTCAAAAGTCGTGCGTGGGACGTGGATGGAGAAGTTCGTGTTACCGAGGCTCCTGTGAAATGTTGGAGTAAGTTGGTGTATGGGGGTTTTATTATGCCAGGATAAATGTAGGGTAATGGAAACATACATGGTACACTGTCCCGCCCCCGCTGCGCCTGCGCACCCACGGAATCCCTTGCGCACGGGCTGCACGGAGGTTGACCTCTTTCCATGGATTTTGGTTGCGTCCTATGACAACACACGGTGCATCTCTATACAGCAGGAGTAACGGTTCCTTCTGAGGCGCGTGTCTGAAGAGCCTGGATATATATTCGTGAACGAGTCAAGCCAGCATCATTATCAGATTTCCGGTGCAAGAGCGAGTGAATGATCAGATTAGTATGTCACGAATACCGAGCAGCCAACAGCCTACCAGTCTTCGAACGAGAGATTGAAATATGGGTTGGTCGACGTGCTGAGGTATATAGAATGTGTGGGTGTTATGACTGAACTTGCGCCTGATGCGGTCGTGTAAAGTCTGCGCGCTGAGAGCACCCGCACGACATGGCGGAACGAAAATGAGATCATTCGTATTCGGACGCGTGCAAGCGCTCATTTTGCATCATCTCAATAACCAGACTCGTATGTTCACTAACAGGTGATCACAACTTTCTACGCTTTCATGATTTACAATTCTGAAGATCATCTCTCAAAAGCTTCTCGCACAAAAAATTCCACGGAAAGGAAGCACTGTTGATCCAAAGCAGCACAGATAATCGACCCAAGGCTATCGCAGGTAATCTAGTAAATGCCGGAAGAGCCCTCACCGCTGCACTGTGGTATATATCGGTTTCTCTACTTCGTGTATCTGTTTCTTCCCTGCTGGAGTGCCAGGTATCGTCTTTGTCAGGCCCTGACAAGTAACCGGACATTAGCACAAAGGCAGCAATTGTGACATGAACAAGACACGCACGAGCTTTTCAAACATGCACTTGTTCAAGGTACGCTCGGGTTTTCTACAGGCATAATATTCCTAAGAAATGACGGGTAGATGTAAGAACTGTGATTGATCAACTACGAGACCCTACGTACCTGATTGTTCAGCTCCAAGCAGTTCCAGTGCGCGTCGAACTGCTCAAGGCAGTTTTCCCGCATCTTGTTAATCCTGCAGGCTTTCTCAGAAGTGAATAAACAAACAGGGAACGATACGCACAAGTCGGTTGCACACCGTGTAACACGCCTGCCTTCCTTCAGACATTGTCCTGGGTCTCCCCGGCCCTCATTCTTGCAAAGCATAAAATCCTCTACCAATACACATCTCATAAACATCCCTTCCCATGTAATTCGATTCCAACGCACCATTATACTCTTTGCAGTAAGCGCCAATAAAAAATGCAGCGGACTTGAGCGGGGCACTGGTTACGCCGAGCTCTTGAACGCGCGGAACAGAGTCTGGGAGTGGTGTTGGGTCCTTGTAGGGCTGACTGCCCGAGGCACTGTCGCGAAAGCCGCTCATTGTCGTCGAGTACGGTCAACTTCGGAATGTGGACTTGATGTGGACAATTGCCTTTCTTGATCACGCGGAGTTTTCAGATTCCGTTTTAGGTCAAGAGGTGTGCGAAAGGGAAATCCCGTACAAAGAGCCCAAAATTAGTCATCATGTAAACCTTAAATATACAGCCACATGAACTTACCAGACGCGTGATCTGAGTTACCAGATAGCGGCGTCAAAAGTTAATGAAATCGTTTGCTGAATACTGAGAAGGGGGTGGTTTATACTACTTTAGAACATATCTAGATAGTCGGATCAATGAAAAAAGTGTGTTGAAGGGCGCTGCTCACTAAATGCAGTATTTTGGATGTCATGAGTGATATCATGTGACCAAAATCAATGAATATATGCGCGTCGTTCGTGTCTTGATATGTGTTATTGACGTGTCTCATAATCTCATTCATGGATTCACAACATTGGCATACTTTTAATTCATTATTCCGTCCATTTCAATGTCTCCGCCATCAACTTCTTCTGATCCGTTGATCGATAACTTCACGCAGCTTCTCATTTGTTTCACACTCAGTCTGAACTTGACACTTTGAAATTGTTTTCATGTAGTCTGTTACCTGCTTGACTCGCTATGGACCTACGTACTTCTTATGCTTTGCATGTCTTCATTTCTATTTCACGCTGCTGGTTCCGTATGTTCTACAATCAATGTCATTGAATTTTGCGTCTTAGAAGTATTCGAAGTTACATTAGTAAGCTACTATACATGGTTAAATTAAGGTGACCGTAACGTTGTCACGGTAGGAGGGGGTATGTGTCAACTTACGCCAGCTCGATGTCCAGAATTGCACTTTCCCACACCTCTTGTTTTAGGTCTACAGCACCTTGCTGAGACTCTTCTGCACAGTACTTGCACAGTAAGCTAGGGATGATGGTGGGTCCACGCTACAGCTGCTAACTTAGGATACCCCTGATGTGTACGATGTTTCCAGCCTCCAAGAGCAACTCCAAAAGCCTACCAAATTCTGGCCAAAACACACCAAGTCACGATATTCCTAACAGTTCCCCAATCTGCAACGATCGCGTTGCTCAAGGATGAGGCGCTTTCTGCGCTCACATCTCGCGTTGCAACTGAGGATGACAGCTTCCCTCACGTTCAAAACACAAGCGACTTTGAGCTGGCGCGCGCAATAAAAGGGAGGGAGAAGGGCAGGTCAGGGGTGATTTATGAGGCCCTCGAGGCAGACAAGGCTATCAGAGGCCTCCTAACAAACTGGGAGGTACTGTATTTTCAATTTAGAGACGAAGACGGTGAGTGTACTACGCGAGCTTTAAATTCGTTGTTGTGCTACTTGATCTTGATATCTCTACCAGGCAATTTGACGCCAGTTGAAGTCTCGCAGCCTTCTCTCCTTGATGATGAGGAGGAAGAGCCTCCCGTGAATAAAGGCAAACGCAAGGCGCTACCAGAATAGTCATCTCATGCTGCATGAATTTTCGAAAAGGATATACTACGAAGAGCATGGCGAGGCAAGAGTCAGCTCATATTACTGCAGCCAGTATTATGACCGCCATGGGCGCGGGGTGTATGGGAGCAATGCAGCAGCTACCCGCCGACCCTCTTCCGCGAGCAAATTATACGTCGAGCACGCGTTTCTCTGGAAGTCCGAGGAATCATCGAGATTAGCATTACATTCGCAGTGTATAGGCAGTAGACCTCACCGTATCCATAATGTCAAGTTGTATTCCCATCTCTTTCAGGTAACCTCTTATACTCGGAGGCGGAAGCTCCATCCGTCTCCCAGTGCCAAACACCAATATTTCTACTTCGTGTTCAGTCCTGCTGGGTCAGTAAATTGCAAGTCTCCCAACGCACCTGGTTTTGGGACAACAGTCTCGAATACACTCAGATGCTCGCGACCCCAGCCGTCCCATAGATGCGAGGGAACGTTCCACAAGAGGACCTTGCCGTCGAGGAAGATGCACGCAGACGGGAGGATAAGCCCGTCTGCGAGCTGGATACCCGCCGACGTTATGGAACTAACTTGCACGGGGGGCGGAACATCCCCTGCAAGCATGTTCGTGAACGCCGTTGGACGGTCGACATGCCTGATTGCAGTCGTATATAGGGCGCGTCGTGACAGTGAGGAGCGGAAGCGGTGTATGATGAATGTAGACATCGTGGAATAAATACACGAAAGAACCTAAATATCTATGGGCCTGATTTGCAGAGCTCAAATAACAAGCCACAATAATCGTTTCCCGAGCTTATAGATCCATGATGAGCAAAACGGAATGTATCTCAATTGTAGAGCAACTCCTTTAAATTTAATTACAGATGGCTTGCACCAGTGGTGTTGACTCATGGGTATATCAGACACAGGACAGCGCTAGCAATGACATGGCCGACGACGGCGCACGATGGTGAAGAGTGAGAAGTAATATGCTAATCAAAAGGTCCATGCATACAGTCATTAACGAGCCAATAAATCTATTCTGAATCTGCTGATCCACCAGCCCCCGAGTCGCCGCGTTACGCACCGAAATATCCATATCCACTTATGACCCTTCGGCCCTTGTCACAATGTCCTCCACCCTGCTCTCGTCCCCTCCTTCCTCAATCTCACCTTCCAGTCCTTCCTCAATCTCACCTTCCAATCCTTCCTCAGCACAGCGCTTGCAAGAGCACGCAAACCGCCATCCCCTCGCGAGCTCCATGCGGCGACGCCGGCGTGCTACCTCGAGTGTCTCCCCAGAGTGCTGTGATACGTCCACATACGCGACGGTGATCTCGTCGCCTTTCTGAAGTGCGCAGGTGGCCACAAGTTGCAGCTGTGCAGTGCCAGTTGGGAAGACAGGCTCAGCGGAGGGTGCGCAGTTATGCGAGATCTAGGGGTCGGTGTAATGAGAAAAGGTGTATCGAAGAACTAGGAACTTACGTAGGATGATACTGCGTAAAAGCCCGTACCGATCTGCTTGGAGGTACCGCAGGGTGTGCGTGTTTTCTCGGTGTTCTCAGGGCGAGCAGCTGTCTCAGGCTACATCGTGATGTAAGAACATGACATTCTCAAAAACGTAAGACGAACTTACCTTGTCCTCCCTTCCTTCACCGAAGTATACTCCATACGAGTTGTACGACATCTTCCCGACAAAGGTTGCATGCCGCTCCTCCGTAAGGAATTGTTCAAGTCCCGGGAGCGCAGTCTGCAGTACATCCTTCAAGACGTGAGTCTCATTATCTGCGGGCTTCACCTCGAGGTATCTTAGGCGCTCGAGATGATCGTACAGCGAGTACTCCCCACCGTCGGTCAGCACCGGCTCGGAAGCGACGCCAGGCAGTATTCCGCGAGGCAACATCTTAGCAGTCTCCGCGCTGACCTGTCGTGCAACGAATCGTGCCACAAGTTCTGGTGCGGCCCTTTTGGTCTGTATGAGATACTCGACGAACGCTTTTTGGGCATTTTCCCGCTCCTTACGTAGCGTGTCTCCCATTTCGGGCGCAATGGCGGCAGGCAATGGCGACTCGAGCGTGAAGAGCAGAGTCTGCGAGTGTGCTTTGTGCTGGGTCAGGCAGTCAGATGAGCAGTAAACACTGTGGAGGCGATCAGATTCCGGACGGATGGGATCGTTTTGGATCTGGCGCAGGCAGTAACTACAATGTGTGCCTTTCCCTTGAAGATCGGCATCGAGAACGGCCACGATTGGATCCTCCTATGGAGAAGATGAGGTCGGATTTAAGAGACATGGAACGGGCGATTTACCTGATAGATGACTTCACTAGCCTTGAAATCTTTTGTCACGACAAGGACTTTCTTCGACATAGTTCCGCCTTTGCCATCAGGGACATTGACAGTCTCAACTGCGACATTCATTGCCTTTGGCGGGAAGAACGTATAATACCCTATCTCATCTTTAGTCCTGCATTGAGAACACGCACCCGAGCAGCGTACCTTCAACTCGGTCTTTGACCTAACGGTGACGACCAAAATATGAAACAAAACTCAGAATCAGATACCATTGAAACAACCAAGAAAGAGATAGATATGCAATTTGACAGATAAGGGTTAGGGTGCAGGCTACAGGGCTAGCATATCCGTGACTCGCAGTCATAGTCACAGGGCAGGCGTCTGACTGCCCGGATCTGTGACCTTGTCCCACTCTTGTGAGGATGCTTCCGAGGGTGGACCCCGTAAGGGACTCGATTCGTCCTCCCCGTCAGACAGTGGTCCAATTTTCCCCTCTGCCAGTGAAGGATCATTACTCACGTCCAAATTGGTAAGTTCCATCACAAGCTGT